AATTGAGATTGTCAACTGGGGTGAACTGGTCAAATGTTCCGTGCCCAAGATGAAGCTGAGTTCCAAGCTGAGTTTCATCAAGATCAAAAGGAGATAGAGTTCCTTCGAAGAAGAAAATGCATCAAATTGCATATTTGCATACATTTAGGCATGAATAGGATCATGACACTCATAATTGCATGATGACTTAAGCATTTTGCAGGTTTCCCAATGATAGTTGAAGATTGAAGATATTGAAGCATCGAGATGAAGATATTTGGTTTGGAGATTTTGAAAAGAATGGTGTTTATACCAAAACTGAGTTAAAGCAGATTCACGTATCCAATGGTTTCCAGACAAGTTTTCACGATGGAGATGGATTTTCAGAAATTTTATCAAATTCTAAATTTTTGAATATAATATTTTCAAACATATGTTCATTAGTGATAATGTTTGATTTTCAGGTTTGACCTTCAAAACAATTAAATCTATAAGCCTTCACGAAAGAGTAGTGAAGCAAATTCGTTGGTTGAAGATCGAGTCCTATACTCTCTGAAGGAATAGGGAGCGGACAAGTTCGTTGAAAATTGAGTCCTATACTCTCTGAAGGAATAGGGAGCGGACAAGTTCGTGAAGATTGAGTCCTATACTCTCTGAATAGGAATAGGAGCTGACAAGTTCGTTGAAGATTGAGTCCTATACTCTCTGAAGGAATAGGGAGCGGACACGTTTATTGAAGATCGAGTCTTATACTCTCTGAAGGAATAGGGAGCGGACCCGTTTGTTGAAGATTATTCGAGTCTTATACTCCCTGAACGAATAGGGAGCAGACACGTTTGTTGAAGATTGTTCAAGTCTTATACTCTCTGAATGAATAGAGAACATACACATTTTATGAAGATTGTCCGAGTCTTATACTTCCTGAAGGAATAGGGAGCAGGCTCGTCATTTGAAGATTTTTCAAGTTTCATTTATCCCGAAGTAACAATGGAGTGCTTTAATCTTTTGGAGCCTTTAGAACCGGACAAACTCGGTCATATTTTAATCTTTGTTCTATTCTCGTTACACGACCATGAACAAAGAGGGGCAGCTGTAGATGCTCGGTTTTGTCCGGGGACTCCGTTCGAGTTTTAGATCCAGTACGAGTTATAGTGTGGATCAGTGAGAGCCCAAATAAGCCCAAACATGTTGGAGGCCCAGTTCAAGACCAATGGACAGCAGTTGGATGCAGAAAAAGAAAGAGATTCAGGTTGGTTTTTAGCAGTTGGAATAATTAGATAGTGGGGAATTAAAAACTGTAAATGGTCAGTTTTGAGGGATTTTAACTACTAGAAACTATCAGCATGGGGATAGAAAAGAAGAGAAAACAAAAAAAAAGGGGGAGAACAAAAAAAAAAGAAAACAAGAGCATTGAGCAAAAACAGAGCAGAAACCAGTAGCCATTCCCAACCATTAACACACATCGAAAGAAGAGAGAGAGAGATTCCAATCGGAAAATACCCATTCAAATATGTTCATTTAGCCAAAAATCCAAAAAAAGGGCCATCAACAACAAATAGAAGCTTTTCAATGAGATAACGTAGCCCTTACTTGCCGGAGTTGAAGAGGATAACCACCACGTCGCTTGTATCCCCGTTCCAGTCATCGAGGAGATCACGTTCAAGAAAATTCCCAAGGAGTCTCACCGTTGTATTCAAAAAGCCGAAGAAGCAATAGAAAGTAAATATCTGTTTTTTGGTATTTTCTTTCTTTCTTTTCCATTTCCAGTATGTTATGGGTGTTCTTATTTCTAAACAAATAAAAGATGTAAGAAAAGAATGAGTTTAATCTCGTTACCGTTTCTTTTGTTGATCCTGTCGTTGTCAGAGTGTAGGTCGCCGTTCATTAGGGAATTCCTTACTAAAATATATATAAAAAAAATTAATTTTTTCCATGTCTGAAACAGACGAAAAACTAGAGGAAGGAGAGGGTTTTTAAATAAAAAAACAATTGTTTTTTTTAAAGAGTAGCTTAGCATAAATCTATAGGGTAATACGAAGCGGAAAGAAATGGGGATCTCCTTTTTGAAGGAATCATGCTTCTCTGTATTAAATTTCAAGAAAATTAGGTGTTTAAGATTGGGTTACCTGGCTCGGGTATGTTCTGACGTCGAAGAGAGCCTTTGATCTTCGTCCTTCTTGTTGGGTCTTTATCGCAAAACCCAAAGAGAGCCTTGGTCGTTGGTTGCTGTAGTCTCCATTTCCCCTTCAAAGAAGTTGAAAAATGAAAGCATGGTGTTTTTGGAGATGATACGGCTGAGTTGCTTAGTTTGATATTAAAGAATTTATATTAAAATTTTAGGTTAATTAATGTTTGGCCATTGAATTTTATGGTATTTGCTTTCGTGCTCTTGTTCTTTAGTCACATATTTATACTTTAGTCACCTTTAGGATTCCTTTCGAATTTAATATTTTGTGTTTGTCCTGATTTTATTATTTTATCAATTTCAATTCTGTTATAGTTTTTTTTTGTTTGTAAATCCATTATATTTAGGCAATTTTCATTTAGATCCATACTTTAGTTTTAATCTGTATGTCGAATTTTACATTTATTTAAATTCAACTCTAACTCTAATATGTATATATCTTTTTAAAATTTGTAGTTTAGTATGTTATGATTTTGTTTTTATATTTAGGTCACATGTGTATATAATATGTTAATATGCATATTTATGATTTTTAATTAAAAATATGTATGTAAATTTTTTTATGTCACATTGTATGATATTTTTTAATTTTGTTAATTAATTTCTGGCATGACATAATTTTTGGTACAATTGTATGATAGCCTTACATGCATAACTCGACCTATTACATAATCGGACTAAGGGTACCCTTTTAATTTAAGTTGTTGAAGTGGGCCGCCATAACTGATTTGAGGTCCGCTTTTAATGATTTTAAAGTAAAAATGTATCCCGAAAGTGAAACAAAAAAATTGATTCGTCACCTAAAATTTGGGAACGAGAGAAAAAGAAATGTTCGTTTATTTAAATATATCGAGAAAAGGTTGTTATATCTTTAAGATCTGGTCTCGATATTTGTAAATAATCGAACATCCTTTATCTTTCTAAAATAACTTGGTAATTTTAATTTAATTTGTTTGAGTGTTTTTGAATGCTTTAAATTTACATTTTTACTTTATGGGATCAAGAATCAAAATAAACTCGAATTTGTAAAGTTCATTGCAAAGACGTTAATTAATCGACTAGGTACCGATTTAGGGCGTTGTGGGGCCTTCCCCACACGTAACCGACTCCCGAACTCGGATTTTGGTAACGCATACCTCAATTTGTTGTTTTAATTAAAGTTAATTTTTATTTAAAATGACATCATTTTTGGGTGCCCAATCACACCCTAATCAAAGATTGGTGGCGACTCTTTGAATGTATTTTTTCGATCATAAAAGAAATCTGAATTTTTTCGAACGAAGGTTTTTTAATCGCATTTGTTTTTAAATTAAAAATCAATTGAAAGATATAAATTAAAAATTAATGTGTTTTTTTTTAAATCTCACCTTTTCACTTTTAAGAAAAAATCGTTTCGACAGTTTCTTCAACCAATACAGCCTGAAAAAAAGAAGGGGATGGCATTTCAGATGTGAACAATATGTCATAATAGAAACTATACCAAAGATACAACATCAAATTTGCAAAAATCATATACCATAGAAAAAGAGGGAAACAACTAGAGCATCCAAATAAAAAGTGCTGACAGTCCACGCATATATCAAATAAATTGAATATTCTCCAATTTAACTCACTAAGGCATCAAAGCACTTCAGGAATAATGCTTAAGCTAAATTTCATCTCTCTAATCTTTTATAAAAAAAATATTATACATACAACATTACAACATTCAAAATTTCCAATTTAACTCACTACAGAATATAATTTCATCTCTCTAGTCCTTATAACACACTCAAAAGCTATTATATACACACCATCACAACATTCAAAAGAAAAATCGGCATCCAAAATACTACCTTAATTGCTTGAGGCAGCTCTTCAAATCCTTTATCCCCATACCTTTCATCCAAAAGCTACAATCTGTTGAACCCTTCCATTCCTTCCCTCCTTTAAACTCCTCTCCTAACAACCCTTTCATTTCGTCCTCTCCCTCATTTTCCTCCAAAACTTCCACCACACAAAACTCTTCCTCTCATTTCCTTTCCTTTCCCCATCTCCTTTACTTTCCTTCTTTTCTTCTTCCCCGGCCGGGAAATCTTAGCCAGATTCTTAAACTTTACAACCCCCTGTAATTAAACTCCTTCACCAACTTCTCCCTATACAAATCAGCGACTCAAACTCCCCATCCTCCTCTTCACCATCGTTCCTTTTATCAAAAAGGGGCATCATTTCTTCATCAATTTCGTCTCCGGGAACTCTGGCTATGTTCTTAACCCTCGGCCAGTTCAAGAGGTGACCCTGAGACGGTTTTCGAGGGCGAAACAATCATTTGCAGGGACACGAGGACAGCAAGATGGAAAGCTCTAGCGAATCTCTGCTCATCGAAAATGGGGTTATGTCTTCTTCTACTTCTGGTTGATGGGTTGTTTGAACTTGGGTTTGAGAAGGGGTTTCGAGTGGATTTTGCCTTAGTGAAGAGAAGGGCCATATGAAAATTTTGGGTTTTGATTTGGGTTTGGGTGGAATATAAGAGAGAAAGGATTGAGGGCTTTGGAAGGGAGGAAAACGAGTGCTTGGAAGAGAAGTTTGTGAAAGGAAGAAGAGAGCTTGGGTTGAGATGCATAAGATTTATTGCCACCATCTTTGGTGGACTGAACTTTTCGGGTTTGAGGGAGGACTTTAGGGGATAAGAAGATTACGAGGGTTCTACTTTTTGGGTTTAAGGGGTTTTATTTTCTTTATCTTTTTTCTGGTTTTTAGTTTTAGGAGATCTTTCAAATTTAGTTTTGGTCAAGATAAACATTATTTTAAAATAAATTACGTATTTAATAATCTATATTTTCTTCCATGATAATCTTCTTCCTGTAATGTTTCGAATCAATGTCGGATACACAAGGATCAACCGCAGCATTATCCGATGGACCTCGTTTAGTCCACCGGTTCGCAAAGACAAGCACGGCCGAGTTGCAGAACTTTACCCCAAATGACCAAAACCAATTGGCTCACAAGGAGCAAACAACAAGAAACAATCTTGGAACCATGGTCCTTTTCAAGCATTTTATTGTTTGCCGCGGTTTTGGACGATGCTGGCCTCGAATTACAGGAAAGTGAAGATGAAGATTAACAGCGATGATGAAAATGAACGATCAGATGCCGTCATTAACAACAACGAACTCGACGATGATGAAAATGAACGATCAGATGCCAACGAACTCGGCGATGATGAAGAGGAATCTTTTGATAAACAAGATGATACCTTAGAAGAATTGTCACTTGTTGAGTGATCGATGCCCTCGCACAGTGGCACATCGTTGATTGTCGGACTAAAAATCTTGTTCGGTTTTGATTCAGATTTAGATTTGGATATCTCGCCATTGTAAATCCGGTGCAGCTTCTGATCCAGTTTCTTGCTTCTACTTCTCTTCATCTATCAAATGCAAATGAAAATTTAATTTTAATATATATACAATTCTCTTTGATTCTGGTGGTTAAAGTTTTTATATATAATCAGAAACAAAAGAGAACAGAAGAAACGTAAAAATTTTGACTATAATTTCTTAATCAGTGAAGCACATGGAGATTGAATTTCCAAGAACAGTAAGTGTTCCTGTCAATAGTATACAATTGAATTGATTTGGTCAAATTAGTATTAAAAGAAAAAACTAAATAATTAACATATAACAGAACTAGAGTTCATATTGTTACTGTTTACTCTATACTAAGTGATTTCTATTTTTAGTTTCAATTATAAGAAAGAACCCAGAAAAATTAAATTCTTAAATACTAATATTAAACGACATGAAAAGGCAGGAAGAAAAAGAACTGACCAGGGAAGTTTCAAAGAAGACGGCATTGACAAAACGAGAGAGACTCCCGCGACCAAGTTTGTCTTTCCGACCAAAAGAATTACCGGGAGCATCTTCGTCTTTATTGTCGGAACCCATTGTGTTCTTCGCCGGTGAAAGGGGCGATTTAACATCCGAAGACGACGACTTCGATCGTTTTCCGACCATCAAACCGTTATCGGAAACAACCGAAAGGAAACCATGCTCATTTTCTTCATTTTTACTGAAAAGGTTAGTTTAAGTTCATGCAGTGGGTTTAGAGAAAAAGAAAGAAGAAGAAAAGGGAGCGGATTGAAAAGGAGGAATTTAAAGATATTTGAAATGAAATCTGATAGTTATGTGGATTTCGTAAAGATTTAAGGCAAAAATGAAGTTGCCTGCCCAGTTTCAATGATGGTCGAATAACATTAGAGTAGATGAAAAGTGAATTTAAAGAGTTACACGAAAATTGTTCAGAGGACGAGGCAAAAGTGTTGGGTTCGATGAAGCTCGATCGATCAACCGAAATATGCCAAGAGGGGGTGAGTTGATTTTTTGAAATTTAGGGAGTAATGAGTATAAAGATAGGAAAATATGCACAATGATTTATAGTGATTCAACTTCCTCAATGAATTCTACATCCACTACCTAAGCTCCTCACTTAGGATTTTCCAACAAATCCACTAATTTGTTCTTTCTTTTTCAAAGACAAAGAGATAATCTTTACAAACTTCCTAGCTTTTTAAATGCTTAGCTAGAACCAAAACCCTTTTACAAAAGAAAAGAATTGTAAACAAGAAAACCTCTAAAAAGGAAGGTGTTTATCCGGTATTGATGCTTCACTTCCCAAAAACCCCTTTGCTATTGAACTTGAAGAACAATATTGGTAATGTTCTTCCAGTACCGATATTCGGGTCCAGAAATACCTTACTTAGGCACGAAATTTACCCTGTTAACTTCTCTAACAACCCTATCGAGGTTCTCAAGTGTTATTAAAGTCTTATGTGAGTTATAAGGGTCATAAAGAAGGTTTGAAACATGCTAAAAACATCAAAACGTGGAATCTACCATGCATGTTCATTCAAGCTTTGAAACTCAACTTAGAAGCTAAATGCATCTCTAATGACCACTAAGGGTATATAAGAGTTGTAAATGTGTTACCTTGGTTTCCTAACTACTGGAAACTCCCTCAATTTACCCAAGCTGCAACCTTTTCTTGCCTTTAGCTTTTGAGCACTCACCAACTTCCTTCCCTAATCAAATCAAGACAAATGAGTTACTAACTCATTTAAAATCTTAGATTGAAGTTGTCAACGCTTCTTAACACTTAAATTTACTAAAAAGGGGATGAAATGTTGGATTCCATAAACCCCACTAAAACCCAAGTTCATGAAACCATGACCAAAACTCACTTTTTAGAGGCTTGAATTGAAGCTCTTGGAATAGTGATTTAAGTTCTTACCATATAATCCTTGAACTATGCTAGTTGAACAAAAAAGCCCACACCTTTTCTCTAGTCTTGAAGGGGGAAAAAGAGTGAAGGAGGATGAAGAAGACAAGGTAAAAAAATTGGTGAAAAAGAGGTATGCCACATACGTGAAATCATCAAATATTAAGGAGGATTCAACTTTTATTTTGAACAAGGACCTAATTGTTCTTTTGGTCCTTCCACTTATTTGCTAAGATTAAAAACCCCCTTTTCATCTCATGTTGGGCCTATACCAAGCCTAAATTCACTCAAATTTAGACCAAGGTTTCCCATAAGCTAGTTTGCTCATTTAAAGACCCAACATTTTAACCCGAGACTCTTAACTCGGGATTTGAGACCTTACACTTATTCAGGTCTAGTTAATATTTAATTTCTTTACGGTAGTGAAAAAAAATTAAATCTAGATTTTATAATTAAATAAATTAAATTCGTCGAAAGCTCAATATTACTAATATTCTTTACTAAAACTATGAAGCCATACATGTTGGCTGTCATTTCTCATTCTTTTCTTTTGTTATAGATTATTTTGATTCGTTCTTTTCTAATGTATGTATTCTTCTTTATTTAGGGATTAAAAATATTATTAAAAATGAGATGAAAAAATATTATTGGTTGAAATCACAGATGACGTGGTGAGTCAGATCCATCTAATAATTTTTTCATCAGACGATATAAAAAGTATACGAGAATGTCATTCTTTACCGACTCCATGCACAACATGCACTTATTTCTCCAGTCCGAGTCTAGGAACTTTTGAATCCCACTCTTGATAGCAAGTAATTCGACCATAATCAGAGGATTCAGACCACAACTTTCAGACCACCCCCGATACCGCAGTTGTCCCCATTACTCGAGCAAGCCCCGTCAATATTTAGTTTAACCATACCAAGCATGGGTGGCAACCACTTTTGCACACTAACAGATCTGATCTAAAACAATGATTTGCTAGCGTTAGGTCCCTAACTAAACCGTCCAGCGATAAAGAACATTCTATAAAATTTACTTTAAGCCAAGAGGCTAGACGAATTTTCACTAAACAAACCAATTGAGTCCACTCCATAATTTAATCTTTGAATATCAAGTCATTTCTCGACGGCCACAAGGTCCATAGTACCATGAAGGGGATCAAAGGCCATATCTTGTTGAACAAGGGAACCTCAATACCACTCGAAGCTTCCATGTAGGTCCTTGGATCTTTAGGCAAGGTGGAAGAGATCCCCATCCAATTGCAGCAAATCATCCACTCTCCAACTAAACCAACAAGGAAAGAATAAGTGATCAATGGTTTCTGGAAATTCATGGCAAAAAGGGTAGAAGTTATTTGTAATATTTGGCACTCCCTTTTTAATTAATTCGACTTTAACCGAACCCGACCATTCATTACCAACCAAATGAAAAGTTCAACCTTAAGAGGGGCCAAACCTAACCACACAAAGTTACTCCAAAAGTTATTTCAAGGGAGGGGTTCGGTGATAAGCTTCTTAAATGTTTCACCGAGAAAGACCTGTCACTAGAACCCACCCATCTCACCCAATCCCCAAAGAGAATAAGAGTTTCGCTTAGCACCCAATGGAAGACCAAGATAATTTGTTGGGAATTTATCGACCAAGCATCCAACCACCTTATCCCAATTTTGCAGTAAAGGTTCCTCGACATTAAGGCTTTGTTTGTTTTCACTGTACAACCTCTTCAAACCTCTTATGTCTGCGCCGTGCAGACCACGCGCAGACATTAAGCTTCGCAGACCGTTTGTTTTTTAGAAGACAGAAGCTCTTCAAACGTATACGCGAGCTCTCTTGGTGCAGACATAGTTTTATGTCTTCAAAGGTCTGCGGGAAAATTAAAATCATTTAAATCTATTTTAAAATTTATTTTAAAATATAGATTGATTTATTTTAAAATATGGATTGATTTATTTTAAAATATGGATTGATTTATTTTAAAATATAAAAAAATTATTTTAAAATATGAATTGATTTATTTTAAAATATGGAAAAATTTATTTTAAAATATGGATTGATTTATTTTAAAATATGGATTGATTTATTTTAAAATATGGATTGATTTATTTTAAAATATGGAAAAAGTTATTTTAAAATATGGATTGATTTATTTTAAAATATGGATTGATTTATTTTAAAATATCGATTGATTTATTTTAAAATATGGATTAATTTATTTTAAAATATGAATTAATTTATTTTAAAAAATTCATTATTGTAGTTGTATGGATTATTTAAATTTCAGTATTATAAAACTAAAATTATTTAAATTTCAGTATTGTAGAACTCTTTTAAGTTTAAAAAATCAGTTTATTTTATATTTCAGTTTATTTTAGCAGTCTGCAGACGTTAAAAAACAAACAGTCTTCTTCTTACAGACTGCAGACTTTTGGTCCACCTCTTCTGCTGCAGATGTTTGCAGATGTGCTCCGCAGACTACAGACTGCAGACCTTTTACCTCTTCAAAAACAAACACCACCTAAACCTCATAATCTTGTTTTTTTAGATTCAATTTGAGACTCGAAGCAAGTTCATAAATTCTAAGAACACGTTTCACATTCCTAACCTGCATTTATGAAGCACCACCGAATATTAGTAGATAATCGGCAAATTAAAGGTGTGAAATTAAAATATTTTCATTCGTTCGGCCAACATTAAACCCAGAGAATAAACCCAAATGGACAGCCTTCTGTAGCATCAAATTAAGTGCTTCTCCTACAAGATTGAATAGAAGGGATGAAAAAGAACACCCCTGTCTTAACCCCTTGAAATGGAAAATACTTCAGTCGGGGCACCGTTGACCAATACTGAGATTCTAGCCGATGAAATGCATTGAAATATCCACTTGCACCATCTATCCCGAAAACCACACTTCTTCGTAACAAGCATCAGAAAATTCCAATCAACCGTGCCATAGGCTTTCTGAAAATCTATTTTGAAAGTGACACCACTGTGCCCGGACTTGGATACAAAATCAATAGCCTCGTTCGCGATTAAAGAGCGATCCAAGATCTGGCGGTATGAGATAAAAGCGAGCTGAGATTCCCCAATAACTTATTCTATACACAACCGTAATCTCTTCGATAGGACCTTTGAAAGAATCTTGTACATCCCCTACGAGACTAATTGGTCGAATATCTTTTAGGGCGGCCGGCCTCAGGATTAATCAGTTTCCGAATGACCCTAATAAAGGAAAGATAGAAATCATTAAAGAACTGCATGATATCCCCTTTTAAGTACAACTAGAATTTTTAAAAGAATTAGAGATTAAATCCATCCTGCCTAAGAACTCTATTACTAGTGGAAGAAGACAAGGCATCCCATGAAATGTGTTTTTTTATGAATAATATATAACTTAATTAAATTTGGATTTTTTAAAAAAAATTTGGCATTATTTGCAATGCAGAGGGGTCCCATGAAATGATGCACACCTAACAGCAAATAATATTACTGCCTTAGCCAACTGGTCGTATAGCTTTGCTTTAAAAATATACTAATTTTTTTGTAGGCAAATGTCAATTTCAACAGCATAACTTCAACCTTTAACCCCTTGAGAAATTTGTATAAGCAAATGCCAAAAATTCAACAAAAACTTCTACACAAAATACAATATTTAAAGATTTCACATAGATGTTACAAAATACAAATACCCTAGTCAAATCCTAATTAATTAAAAAAACACTTTTAATCTAACTTTTGTGTTTTTTTCAGAAACATTACAGACACCCATTGACATTTAATCCATTAGGAACTTCACACATCAACATGTTGCTGCAGTAACTGCCTCTTTCGATATATTCGGCGGCACTGCCGGTACCGTTGTTGTTCACATATGTGTTCGACGACGAATTCAATGGTGTCGAGCTCGAAGACGGTGTCGATAAAATCGATCCGAAGGGATTCAGACTCGGAATGTTTTCGGTTAAACATGTCTGCTTTTGATCAGCTGAAGAGCAGATAATCGACTGATTGAACTCGTGGTGGTAGCCGTAGTTTTGCATGGGAAGAAAACCCTTTGAATAATTGTTAACATTATCATCTAATTGCCACATATTTGCAGGAAAATGGTTCCAATTAGCTTGCAGAATCTGGTTCATACAAGTACTTGAAGACGATGATGTAGGGCAGAACTGAACAGGATTATGGAACTGGTTTTCATGGTAAGATTCGAACTGGTTTTGTACTTGGATATTTTCAGGGTTACTATCTTCCATGTTCTTGTTTTGGCCCGACATGAAAGCGGTGGCTAAGGTGAAGAGATTAGGGTTGAAAATTGGTCCGATGTTGCCGGCGAAACCGGTCGGATTTAGGGCAGAATTGTACAGAGATGAACTGAGAAGCGAAGAGAGTTCGAGAAGATCGAGACTAGGAGTGTGGGTAAAGGGATCGATCCCCATTCTCAATAGCTTCTTCTTGATGTTAGTATTCCAATAGTTTTTTACCTCGTTATCTGTTCTTCCAGGCAATCGAGAAGCAATGGCGGACCATCTAAGTTAAAAAAAACAGTAAATCAGACATAGTACCATAAAACAAACATTTTTGTTTCATTGACTTTGCTCTATAATCAGTCTATAAGTAGTAGTTAAATCATTCTTAATATAAAAAAACCGACTTTTTACTATTCGATTTAAACTGACTTCGACATTTTCTTAGTAATAAACACTTACTTGTTTCCTAAAACGCTGTGTAACTGTATTATAACTTCATCTTCTTCGGGTGAGAATTTCCCCCTCTTGATATCAGGCCGTAAGTAATTAGTCCATCGAAGCCTGCAACTCTTCCCGTACCTCTTCAACCCTACCAAAAAAATCGAAACTCGATCTTAATCGAACTAAAAGAACACAAACTCGAAACATTCGACTCGATGATTTAAGTAAGTTTTGAGATATACCTGCATTTTTGGGGAGGGTACGCCATCTGCCATGGCCATGTTTCTGAATATAATCGATCAACATTTGATCTTCTTCAGCTGTCCATGGACCTTTCTTCAACCCATTTTTGTAAGAGCCGGGATATTTCCCCATTTCCGAATATATCTCTGAAGACAACCTTAAAACTTGCCCTTTTTTGTTTGGAAAAAAACTTGTAAGAAGTGTAAAAACCTTGGGAACCGAAGTCATACAATGCATGGAGGAAGGAGATATAAATAGAGGAGAAGAAACGAATGGTGGGGGGGGGGGAATTGGGGGCAAGTCGATGGGATTTGGTACCCCCAATTGAAACGTGTCTTCTTATGAGGAAAAATAACACATTGCACATAAATACATATTCAAATACTACACATGTTTATTGCCCTTGTTAGCTTTGTCCTATGTAAGAACAAACCTAATTTAAATGTTTGTTCAAAATTTACGTGGAGTGTGCTTAAAATATATAAATATTGTACGAATGCTATACCTTAGTTATAAACAAATTGTTATTTGTAGACACTTATTTTCGTTCATATATTTTTATTTTTTTACATATATATATATATATATATATATATATATATATATATATATATATATATATATATATATATATAGTTTGCAAATGGTTTTTGAAAATACGTATATAATATATAGCTTTTAAAATATTTTGAAAATATATATAATATATAGTTTTTAAAATTATTTTTTAAAACTTATATAATATATAGTTTTTAAAATCGAAAACTTATATAATATATAGTTTTTAAAAAATATTTTTAGAAAATATATATATAATTTTTTTGAAAACATTTTTAAATATGTATAATATATAGTTTGAAAATGTTTTTGAAATTTTGGAAACATTTTTAGAATATATATAATATATATTTGTTTTTATTATTTGTTTTATTTTATTTTTATTTTATTTTTATTTTATTTTTATTTATTTTATTCTTTTATTTTTTTTCCAAGTCCAAGTCCAGGGTCCAATATATCCAAAACGGGCAAGAGCCCAAATCTGTTCAGGTCAAGCAACGGCTAAGTGGGCCTGAACCAGCCCAAGTACATTAGGGATGATCCATCCCGGGATGGTCGGTCAACCATAAATGGTCCATAACAAAATGACCCCGAAATTCGGGATCACCCCAAAAATAGTTGAAAACAGCCCCCAACGGGGGTATATAAATACCACAGACGAATAGTGGACGGGGAGAGACTGCTTACGACAGTACCATCATCGACACAAAACCAACGGGAAGCATCATCGAGAAAACCGAGAGCCACAAAATTCCAACAACCATCACGAAAACAACAACAATAGTGCCACAAACAAAAAAAACATAACCAACCAACGACAGGAACAAGAACGTTGAACCTACACGAGAACGACAAACCAAACAAGCACATAAAAAAACCAACCCCGAATAAGTCCTTGGAGAAGAAGCCATCGGAGAGTCGGGGAAGCGAACGGGTTTTTTTTTTAAAAAAGGTAAAAAAATCGAAGTCTTTTCTGTAGATCTACGCCAGTGGGGTATTTTTTTAGGTGTTTGGGCTTCGGATTTGGGCTGAGGACATTGAGAGGGAGCTTTGGGGGTGTTCAGTTATTTCGGCCGCCGCTCGCGGTGGCTGTAGACGGTGGCCGACGGGTGGCCAGCTTCCCATCGGTGGGGAAGGCTAGAGAGAGATGAGAGAATAAAAGTTTCTCTCTTTGGTAGAGAGAGAGAGTGAAAAGAGCAAAATGAGAGAGTTTAGTGTTTTAGCCCTCTCATATGGGCCTTATATATTGCTAGTGAAACGATGTAGTTTCAGTAGGGGACATTTGTGTGATTTTTCGCACGGATCAATTACACTAACGGTCCTTGTAAGCTATATCTTTTATATTTTGACCATTGAATTTAATTTCCAATGTTTTAATTTGGATTTCGAATTTATATTTTTTCATTTGATCCCTTTTTTATTTATTATTTTTTTCCTTTTCTTTTTGTTAAGATTTATTTTCATAACTTTTTCATTTTTATTTTTTAATATTTAACCCTTTTTTCATAATTTTTATTTTGGTTTTTTATTTTCATTAATTTTTTATTCTATCATTTTATTTATCTCTATTTATTTGTTTTTATTATTATTATATTTTTTATTCTTCTTTTCACTTATTCTTTTTTTATTTTCATTTCCCTATTTTTATTTTTTTTCCTCTCTTTAATTTTTATTCAATTCTTTTTTTCGTTTTGACTTTTTTATTTATTTTCTTTTTGTTCCTTTGATTTATTATTTTAGTATTATATTTATTTATTTATTATTATTATTTTTTTTTGTTTTCTTGGAATTATTTAATACTTATTTACTATTTTTTTATCTAACATTTTTGGGCCTCTTTTTAGAAAATTTCCCAACCAATCAAAGTAATTATTCGAATTGAATTTTTAAATTTGAATTTAAATTTCAATTTTTTCAATTAGGACAACCAACAAATTAATTGGTACCGAAAGGACGGTTCAAGGGTGCTAATACTTCCTTGACCGTAATCGACTCCCGAACCCGACATATTTTCGGTAAAACGCAGATCAGGTAAGATGGTGTCCGATCTACCTAAATATCGTTTTAAAATGATCAATGGCGACTCTAACCCAATTATTCAAGTCGAAGCTCAATTCTGGGCCCAACCGAAAGACGACAACGACATTATTATTTCTAAAAGTTTCAAGTTCGAGCACTAAGAATGTCAGGGGTGTGAGTGTTTAATTTCAAATGGTTGAGAATCATATTTAAATGGATAATGCCTTGTACTTACCCAGATTAATAATATATATATATATATATATATTATTTTTAAGATAATGCTATTAAGTTTTAGGAGTAATATATATATTTCATTTTTCAAAATATAAGTTCATACAATAGATACACATATATAAAATTGGATTAATATATTTTAAGTGCATTTTACATTAGATCTAAGCTAATGTTTATCATTTAAATCGATTGAAGGGCCTATTTGATAAGATATTAAAACTTTTGAAATTCAATTGAAAATATTTTAAAGTATAATTATCAATTTACAATCTCAACCTCATAATTTAAGAATGTCCTTGTAACACCCTCATACCGTACGGGTGACCCGATCCGAGGTGTCACATTAGGGCCACCGGAGCGACCCACAATAAAAATCCAGGAAAAACTTAAATTTTTTGTTAAAACATGTAAAATAATAAAACAATTTATAAATAAAATACAAGTTCAGAAAACCATTCATATATTACAAACAAAATTAAAATCATACAAGTTCTAGACTCAATATAAAAATCAAATGTGACCTACTTACGCTTGTACCATACTTTGCAAGCCAAGCTGAATGAACTACCATTATTGAAGTCGATAGTTGCACTGGATCGATTTTTTAACCTGAAATGGTGAGTAAAAGAGTGAACTTTGGGGAGCTCAATAATACAAAACTACCAGGTGATGCTGAAGGACATGCAAATAAATGACAAGCATAAAAATTTTCTCATTGATTCAAGCATCAACAGTTTTTTATGATGAGCTGAGGTTCCACTGATATTTCTTTAGGTAACAGACAAATAGCTTATATTTCAGAGGAAACATTCAGAAGACCAAGTTCAGAGATTGAAACAGACGTCTAGTGTGTTCCTTCAAAACCATAATAAAATGTAATCAAGTTTAAAACAATAGTATTTTTTGGTAAAACATGTTTTAAAATAACTGTAGTACCCTCCATCTGAATACTCCATGTGAAATTCCCCAAGACATCATCCATAAAGACTTACCCTAGACCTCTAGGATCTAGGAGTCAATATGAATGGTCATAACATAAAGGATTTATCAGCTAGCTGAACCTCAGAGACTCCAGAATCCTACCCAATCAATACCTCAATAAAACAGTTTCATATAGAATTAGTAATATCAAAACACAGAAATTAGAAGTTAAGTTTTTATTTAAAATACCGAGTTTCCCTCCAATCGTACACCAAATACAGTACCCCAAAACATACATCCATAAGGACTTACCCTAGACCCCTAGGATCTAGGAGTCCAATATGAATGATAGAACAGAAAGGATTTACCAGCTAGTTGAACCTCAGAGTCTCCAGACACCTACCCAAACAGTACCCCAAAAAGCATATCAGATAGCATACAATAATATCATAAATTATGAGCTAATTTTACCTTGTGTCAGAAACCAGATATCAAAAACCATAATTTATATAAATCAGAGAAAACATATTTGTCAATAGGGAACACACTAGAGGATCCATATATTTTTCGAAGGCGTTTGAAAATTATCAAGAATATAAAATATGAACTTACGCAAAATTGATCGGATTTCATAATCGAGGTCCCTATTAAAATGGTTTAATTGCTAACAGATATAAACATATATTCAGATATTTATGCTTCAGGACCATCTAGGATTTCAAGTGTATTAGAAAGTTTTTAGGAACATTTACATCAAAATAATTTAAGATTTCATATATAACTATAGCGATTCCATTATTTAGGATATCAGGGGTATTTCAGATATTTTGATTTCTAGTGGATTCTTAGCAACTTAATCCAATAAGGGTGAAACAATGATTTACGGTATTCAATATTCATGTCTATTTATCAGGATATTGGGTCAACTCCAGTTGAACAAAACCCAGTACTGCGATACCTATCAACCACTCAAATCGATACACTTCAAGAATATTCACACTTTAATACTGACAGCACTACTAGAACTGATCATCTTCAGAACCATCGTTGAACGGATCTTGAGGAACTGTACGTATTCCGATGGTATTTGTTTTATTTATATATTGCAACAATCTCCAAGATGACTGACGTACTTGGGCCGTCTCCATAACCTTTAGGGGTCGTTAAAATATTTAATGCTTCACTGGTACTTTCAAAACTTGTCTAAAAACATTTCCTTAAACCAGATCATTAGGGTATTTGAGTCATTTCAGTACTCGGATAATTCTAGTTATTATCTTTCGATTCAGTCTTATCATATAATTCAACCATTTCGATCCATTCAGACGTAATTGATACCTTGGTTGGTTTAGTCTTCAGGCGTTTGCGTAGGAAAATAACTCTAGGTATGCTTTTCCACTTCGGAGGTAAAAATTGATTATCAGGGGTTATTTTAGTTATTACGGATCTTGAGGTCAATTGATTTACTGATTAATC